CAAGAAAGGACTTGTATTGCTGAAGATCCTCAAAAAGAATTTCTACTGGAAACAAACAAACAAGCAGATACGTAACAATAGAAAGCTGTTAATTTGATCAAAATGCGAGACTTCTTTTTTTTACTATATTATGTATTACAATTCACCCCGGACAAGTCCCCAATTTATTACATAACGTATTACAATTTCGAATAGCCTAAAAGTGAGTTAAATTGTAAGTTATATTTAGTAGTTAAATAAATGTCGAAATGTATCGAATTTATGATACTTGCCAACAAGATTGATACACACAATTTTTCAAATACAAATATATTTCAGTATACCAACAATAACACAATTTACAATAACGTTTATTACAAATAATGATCTATGTACAGATGTTTTACAAACTCACAAACAATACTTAGTCCTCTATCTGGTCTGGAAATTCATTGATATATTATCGAGGGTTCACGATGAGCGAATTAATTTTGAGTTGATGTAGATACAATTCACTAACAGGGAGCTAGCTAGCTCTGTGTTATTCAGTTATCGCCGGTCACACGCCGAGTTGTTCACTGCTGAAGTAATATAATGTTTTCGTAAAAATACTAATGTCCGATGTGAATCCATTGAAGTTAAGTGGTTTTTAATATTCGAAATCTATAACCGTTCCTGGTCAGATATCTGAAATTCCCGATTAATAAGCGTTATAATAATCAAAGTTATAGCTTCAGAGGTTTATAACACACTAACTATAGGAAACCAATAATATGTATAATGTCTTTTAACATGGCGTGTTGATTATATTTATAGGAGAGTTTCTCGAAATTTCAGCTTACGTAACAACATAAACGATACACCAGTGTTTACGTACACACATATATATTGTTGATTCTTAAACTCGAGGATTTTCTACAATTTTATGAATAGGCAGAAATTTCGCAATATAGATTTAACAGTATAAGTTATGTACATTTATACATATAAACTTGACTTGAACAAACATCGATATTAAAATAGATATAGGATAGTAAATCCGTCAGAACTAATACATGTGAGCATGCGTTCTGCATAGAGGCTCAGATGCGCGAGTCTCATGCTGAATGGGTAAGTATTGGTAGCACTGCAGACAGCAAATTTTCCTAAATATTACTTTGATATGTGAGGCATTAAATTAGATCATCAAGTAAACATGATATATTCAGTTATTGTCTAGCACATATTCAACTGTTTCCACAAAGATTCATGGATAACAAATGGTACCGAATTCTTGAAATCATTACATAGGCAATGTTACTGGTTACTGTCAATGAAACATTCTATATTTCAATATGTATG